CACTGAGACTCCAGCCAAAGASTGAGAGACATATCTTAGGCATCAGCTGCTCGACGCATGCACTGAGAAAAACTACGAAGTAAAAAAGTTGAATAAGAATATCATCAACATCATCATCATCATGATATCCATAATAAAATAAAAATGTTGATTTTAAATTTAGAAATATATTTTTAATATTTATATACATATAATTTTTTGTGATTGTAAAGCTATTCAAAATTTTATTATTAATATTTTTTGTTCTTTAATTAGTAGAAAATCTCAGCTGATTAGCACTACAATCAATAGCAAGTATAACTCATTTTTTCCAAGTGTAGTCATGGACTCTCCCTCTCTGTCTGGCTGCTGTGCAATTAAATAAACGAAAGTTTTCATTAATTTCGATTGCAGCGACTGCAAGAGACGACACTAAGGCCAAAGCTGCGGCTGGAGGATGGAGCTGTTGCTGGAGCTGCCCCTCGCCGCGCTCTTTAAACAATTCCAATTCATTAGCGACGCTTTTGGGCCTGGTTGTCAAACATGCCTCATGCGCTCCCAAGCCCGTTGCTGGGTATCTAGTCGCGGCCAGAGTCAGCCGCAGCAGTTCAGCTCAGACTGGCTCTGAGCTCGAGTCTGGGGCGTGCTCTCGTGCTGCTCATAATGTCTGATGGATGTGACGTGCTTTGATGTATTTCACTTTTTAGTCAGCCAACGTTTTGGTAGGCAGGAGCGGCCGCTCGAGCTGTTAACTGYCAGCACAGCACAACGCAGCACAAGTTTCTACTGCCCAGTCACAGTTCCAGAGCTGCAGCAGATGATGCTGCGGCTGCTGCTGCTGTGCTGACCATTTTCTAGTTTGAAGACATTTTCACAACGCTATAAAGTAAACAGCTTGTGCAAGAGGTGAAAACAGTAAAATCGCTTCGCAAATGAAAAGCGCGAAAAACGCATTACAAACACAGAAAACGAGATGCGGTTACCTATGTCCCCCTTCGATCCCCACCTGACCGAACCTTAAATCTTTGCTAGCATACACTTGACGAAGGGTACCCTAACTACCATAACTGTCTCTCCAGAGAAGCTCAGCGAAAACTATACTCGTCATAAATAATATTTTAAAATTTGTGCACTACCCTAAAAAATAGAAATATTTAAAATTTTAGTTAAATCATTATCCATATAAGAAAATAAAACAAAAATAAAAATAAAATATAAAAATAAATTAAAATAAA